CTTCGGAACGTCTCACAGGATTGGCTGAGAAAATGATATCTAAACAATAAGAGTAACAATGGAGCAAGACCCAATGAAATTAGAGGTTCTAAAGACCTTCCAGTTCTTCATGTCAATAGATGTGTTTCCGGGGAGTTTCCATCGGTCACGAAACAAATTTGTTTTGTTTCAGAAGGTCTTCTCAAAGTAAAACCAGAAATTAGATAATTGTTCTTTAAACACAAGCGAAGAGAGTTTGAGATATTTTTACACGAAAAATCGAGCTATCAAGACCTATCAAGCGCAAACGATCCACTGTGCTTCCATCATCGGCATTTCGTTATTTTGATAACGACGAAAAGCGACGAGTAAAACTGATAAAAATGGAAGTCTTCCATTATATTTTTGTAACATGTAAATCAAGTTACTTACGAACGAACCCCTGACAGACATTTTTTTGAAAAAAAATTCTTCATTTTTCACAACGAAAACATCGATCTAATGTCAATCTGCCAAAGCCAGCCTTACCCCGCCCCACTGAGAAAATGTTCTCATGGTTACGTTTGTTTGAAATTGATCCGGGACATTGTTATTCAAAATGGCGGCAATTAGGAGGAAGGTACATAAACTTTTTTGGAAATAATAAAAGTGATTTCTTCCACGATTTTGCTGCTATAATGCCGGAGGAAAGAATAGAAGATGCAGACGCTAGCAATGTTGGTGAAGAAGAAGGCGAAGAAGAGATTCCGTCGGACATAATGCCACTTTTCTTTACGAGTAAAACTCAAGAAATATTTGGCTGCAAAGGCGATGAGGATGTCACAGAAGAGAATCCACACAAGCTGATCCCAAAGGAAACAATCCTTCAAGATTTTAAAGACAGGGCAGCTGTTTCAGATTTTCATCCAGTTAAGCAAATCGTTTTGGTAAGTGTTTAAGTGCAAAGCTGGAGCTAAAACGGCACCACATGTAATTCTATTATGCACGACCCCATAGGCTAGTTGAGCTGGAATTTTAGTGATCGTGTTAAGTAAAGGTGGTCTGGCTGTCTATATGGCAGGGTACCTTTAGCCTCACTTTGCTGACCTGGGCATATCCTGGATCAGTAATGGAAGTTTGAGGTTCACAGTTGCTGAACATAAGCTTGATATGTTTTAAGACAACCTATTTTAATCCATTTCATTTCATATGGAATTGATTGTTTTCAGTTAAATTTCTATCATCTCTCTCCTATTTTTACACAAAAAGGTAAAAAGATAAAATCTGCATTTGAGCCAAGTGGCCCATCAGGCTGGAGCTTATCCCGGGTTCTGTAGCATGAATCGACTAGCCATATTTCCACACCCCCCTGGGTGGGATTCTAATCCATCACAAGGTTACCTCCAGCATTTATTTCGCCAGTACCCGTTTATACTCCTGGGTGGAGAGAGGCACTGTGAGAGTAAAGTGTCTTGCCCAAGAACACAACACAATGTCCCCAGCCAGGGCTCGAACTCGAACTGCTGAATTGGGAGTCGTACCCTCTTACTCAACCATGAGGTCACCGTGCCTCCACACAGTTTTTTCATAAAAGGAGCTTAATATTATGCTGAAAGTTTTGGCTTTGAATTAAGACCTCCCATCCTCGCAGAATTTTCATTGACCTTCCATAGGGTGGATGTGGATATTTTCTGGAAGGCCACTGAATCAGGGATCCATATTCGCAGTTGTCCGGTCATCAGTGATGACTGAAAAATTATAAAGACAACCAAAACAATATGCAAACTTGTCTGCTGGACGAGTTAAGTTTGACTCTATTTTCTTTAATTTTCTTCTGAGTTTCATGCATTCTGTCCACTTGTTTTTCATTTGGAACTTTTAGAAAACAGAGAAAGATTAGCTGCTTTCTTTTGCGATAATATCATCATTTTGGTCTGCCATCTTGGATGATGTGGTATTCTCAATGAATGAAATCATCACAGGCTCAATTTTCATCTTGTCAACTGCTGATGCTTTGTACTGCATCTGCATCTGCAAAACACATAGCGCGATGGCATGAGCTGTTTTGAACAGGATACGGTGTTTAGTATTTTTAACGTTTCTGAAAAACAAGCCAAATACCAGCAGGAAGAGCAAAAGCATTCCTTTCGTGACTGTCGATTGTCAAAGTGGCCTTGGTTTTCATTAGTACCTAGATTTTCTGTGCCTGCCGACTGCTACAACTATGGACAAGATGTTCTGGGAGACTGGTCACAGGAAAATAATAAAGTAAACTTTCCAATTACCTGAAGGTCACTGATCATCTCACCTGTACCTCAGCCAATGTCGTCTACTGCATAACTTGCACTCTTCGCAAAAAGTTATACATTGGCCAAACAGGGAGATGACTAGGCGACCGATTCCGAGAACACCTTCGCAACATAGAGAAAGACGACAAAAATGCATCTAAACTGGTCATGAGACACTTTAATCTCCCCAATCATTCTAAGCAACATATGGCAGTCTGCGGCCTTCCCTACATCAAGGAAGCACAGAAAACCGCAAAACTCTAGAACAAAAATTTATTTTTCAAATCAGCACTCTTAATCCTCACAGTATCAACAAACACTTTTCATTCAACTAATTTATTCTGTTGTTTTTCACATTACCATGCACCAACCAGTAACGTAACTTCATCTTTCTGTATATAAACCACACACAACCCACAATTCTTGGATTCGCTTCGACAAAGGGCTAGTGCTCAAAACGTCAGCTTTCGAATCTCTTTATGGTGGCTAATTTACATTATCAACCCAGTTGATAAAACCAAATTATCTTTCCAATTACATGTTGTTTAGTCCTCATTCTATTCTGTTGAACAGGCATGTAAAATTTTTCCAGGGTAAGTATATCATCTTGCATACTTGCTCAGCTGATGACTTGGAGAAAAAACCAATATGGATGTCAGCTGAATGACCACAATGATGGGTTGGTACATATTTTTGCCGAGCCTGAAATGGACAGGTTGCCTGAAAAGCTCCAAATGACATCTGATATGCTGTTAGATTCTCTTATCATAATCCAAAACTGAAGAGCCACGAAACTTTTTATCCTCATCAGGCATAAGGAAATCTAAATTTTTATCTGTTTAACTTTACAACTTTTCAGCTTGATAGCCTACTTGGTTGGAAACCAGCGCATTTTGAATCTTGGAATTATGGCAGTGCATGACACAAAGCTACACTTATCTTGTGATTTTCAGCCATTTTAGGAGTTGAAGTGGTATGAAAAGTGCTTGACTGTGTAAATGTTTGTTGGTTCAGTTTAGATAATCAGTCGACTAAATAGCCGAAGTAAGTTCCAGATGATTACACTATTTTCTGGCCACCATATTGGTGGACTACAGAGATCCACCAACATGGTGGCTTCATACTGGGCTCTGTAAGTTTGCACAAGACATTTTGACAAACATCTGAAAATTGGGAAAATGCAGACCTAAAACTTTGAGAAGTGTCTTCTTTACTTATCTCCTATATAACATTACAATTTTTTGACTCAATTCACTGAATAGTTTTCTATTTATTTTTGAGTTATTTTTTTGTAAAAAAAAAAAAAAACCTCTTAGTCGGCACGTCGGGTATGTTATGGACGGGTCAATGGGTGAGTGAGTGAGTGAGNTCATGAGACACTTTAATCTCCCCAATCATTCTAAGCAACATATGGCAGTCTGCGGCCTTCCCTACATCAAGGAAGCACAGAAAACCGCAAAACTCTAGAACAAAAATTTATTTTTCAAATTGCACTCTTAATCCTCACAGTATCAACATTCGACTAATTTATTCTGTTGTTTTTCACATTACCATGCACCAACCAATAGTGTAGCTTCATCTTTCTGTATATAAACCACACACAACCCACAGTTCTTGGATTTGCTCTGACGAAGGGCGAGCGCTCAAAATGTCAGCTTTCGAATCTCTTTACAGTGACTAATTACATTATCAACCCAGTTAATACAACTAATTTATCTTTCCAATTACATGTTGTTTAGTCCTCATTCTATTCTGTTGAATGGGCATGTAAAATTTTTCTAGGGCAAGTATATCATCTGGCATACTTGCTCGGCTGACGACTTGGGGAAAAAACCAAAATGCATCTCTGCTGAATGACCACAATGATGGGTTGGTACATATTTTTGCAGAGCCTGAAATGGACGGGTTGTCTGAAAAGCTCCAAATGACATCTGATATGCTGGTAGATTCTCTTATCAAAGTTTTCTCATGCTTCCTTTTACGAATAAAGGAGAACTTGACATTGGTTAAAAATTTTTTTCCCAGTGCACCCCTTCAATCTATAATAAAGATAAAACCCCAAACAAAGCCTATAGATTGTTTTCACGTGACACCATCAAATTCCAAAATCCAAAACTGAAGAGCCACGAAAGTTTTTATCCTTATCAGGCATAAGGAAATCTAAATTTTTATCTGCTTAACTTTACAACTTTTCAGCTCGATAGCCTACTTGGTTTGGAAACCAGCGCATTTTGAATCTCGGAGTTATGGCAGTGTGTGACACAAAGCTACACTTGTCTTGTGATTTTCAGCCATTTTAGGAGTTAAAGTGTTAGGAAATGTGCTTGACTGTGTAAATGTTTGTTGGTTCAGTTCAGATAATCAGTTGATTAGATAGCCAAAGTAAGTTCCAGATGTTTACACTATTTTCTGGCCACCATATTGGTGGACCACAGAGGTCCGCCAACATGGTGGTTTCATACTGGGCTCTGTAAGTTTGCACAAAACATTTTGACAAACATCTGAAGTTTGGGAAAATGCAGAAACCTAAAACTTTGAGAAGTGTCTTCTTTACTTATCTCCTATATAACATTACAATTTCTTGACTCAATCCACTGAATAGTTTTCTATTTATTTTTTCATTGTGTGAGAGTGAAAACAATCTATACCACAAACAAATCGAGATACTTGGACTGGTGTGAGTTAATTTATCCAAGAGATTAAATTTCATTTTCTTGTTGTAGGATTATCAAGCTGATGAACTGCTTGTAGTGTATGATCCCTTGTTCAAGTATGGTCAGAATTTTTACCTTGCTCTTACAGAGGAAGCCAAGGAGAGGATCCTGAATGTAAGGCTAATGTTTAATTTAACTGCATCTGAGCAAGCATCAAGCCAAACCAGATCTGGCTCAATGTTACTCTTGCCAGCAGCATCGGGAGGACAGTCCCATAAAAGAACAGATGAAAATAGTTAACACTTTGTCGGGTTAAGACTTGCTACCTCTTTATAGGGGTGAAGGGGATTTGGGCCACAAAAAAACAAACACCCCAAAACAGATTCTGGTCCCTTTTGGGAGTTCCCTCCCGAACTTTCAAACGATCACACCATCACCTTTACATATATATAGGACTCCCTGTGTTACATCAATGAAAATCAGAAGTAACCTAAGTATACTGTAGCCATTAGAGGCAACATGGCAAAAGGACATAGAGACATGTGCCAATGCATTATTTTGAAAATGTTGCATAATCTGTCAGTTATTTCTTTGTTGTGAAAAAAAAGTGGGCTGAGAGCAGGGGGAGTTCAAAATTGAGGGTCAGGGTGTAAAATGTCATGCTCTAAAAAGCATAAGGTTTTTGAGACTGAGATGTGTGTCCTCTAGACTCTAACATAAAGATAAGCTGTGGTTATATTTTAAGGTATAACACTGTAATTGGATGGGTTTGTTTCTTGATAGCCTCCTCAAGATGAAGTTCAAGATGGAGAAGCAGAGGAAGAAGAAGAAGACTTAGTATTTACATTTAGAAAGTTTCCACGAACTCCTCAGCCATGGCAATCCTTTGGAAGTGAAACTGAAGTGGAGGAAGAGAATGTCACTGAAAACAGACCCAAGGTTAACTGCTAATGACATAATATACTTCCGGGCTGGGTTGTTCGAAAGCTGGTTATCGCTAAGCCATGATTAAAAGTTAACCGAAGTAACAATTTTTCTTCTACAGAAATGTTTTTCACTACTTATGTTTTGTGTAGTTTGAGATTACTCAAGCTCAAAACTGAAGGATGAACAATATAAACAGAAAACTTCACCGAAAATGTACAAAAATGAAATCAAAATTCTCAGTAATCCTGGGTTAGCTTAATCAGGCTTTGAACAACCTGGCCCTGATCAATGACTGATATAGATATAGACTGATTGGACAGTGGTCGAGATAAGTGAGGGGTCTCAGGTCAAAAACCCGGGCATGGGAGCAGTGGAAATTGACCTGTTTGAATTCCCTATAATTGTAACTCTACCTTGAAACATATCTGGAACCCTGATTAGATATTACACAACGGCGTGAAATCAAGTAAATGAATTTTATTTTTGAGTGATGAAAACAATAATGTATGAAGAAGTGCAGCAAGTGAGTAAGATGTTGTTGTTAACATGCGAAACTTAAATTCATGTAGCACTTCAAGCCAAGGTGTAATTTTCTCTTTATTACATAAGTGTACCTGTAGACAAACTGACTCTTTCCGCAAACAGCCATGAATACGCAGGAAATAACATAATCAATATCGTCACTAGTGAGGACATGGAAAATTACACCACTCAGGGCCTGGATGTAGTTTCATATATGAATTTTACGAGTGGTGTATTTTTCCAGTAAAATACTCGTGTCTGTATGTATTGTATATCAATGTAATTTTTGCATGATAAATTTAAAAATTAATTCATTTTATGTTTGCTACAACATGTTATGATCAAGAAACTGTTTTAGTGTAAGTGCATATACATGAAGTACACATTTGAAATAATATTTATATGCATGCTAACTTTTGTTTTTCCTTTCAGGTCAAGTTTAGGATTTCAAGAAAGAGGCGTGAGTTTGGAGTGCCTGTGACATTCAGTGATCGAAATGTGTCTGATGCTAAAGATGGCTTCGTAGAATGCCCTTCATATGACGATGATAGCTATGGACTCCTGAAGAAAGAGCTTGACAAAGGCATACAGGTAGATGAAAGTGATTCACTTAGCATAATATAGAGTTTAAGAAATAGAAAACATGTACCATGTTTCTATCAAGTTTTAGTATAAATCTACTAGCATCTCATCACGAATGTCATTCTCTGATTGGCTATGCAGTTCAGTATCTATTCTGTGATGGATAGTGAGTAGCATAGCAGTGTGCCCTTGCTAACAAAATGATGGCTCATGCTTCTTGACGTTTTCAAAGCGTCTGTGAAGAGGATTAAGATAAAGTTTTGAATGACTAGTAGATTTATGCTAAAACAATAAGATTAGTCACTCTTGATTTCTATGTGTGACAGTTGACTTGGGCTGCGCCCTCGTCAACTATCACATGATAGAAATCTCGAGCTCATAATCTAATTGTTTAATAGAAACAGGAGCCGAGAGGCGAATGTTTCCACAACTTTTTTGAGTTCTCCCAAACTTTCACGGGTGTTTTTTATTATGCAATTAGATTAAGAGCTCGAGATTTCTATCG